GTGGAAATAGATCAAGGGTGGTCAAACTAAGAACAGGCTTTAGGGTATGAAAACCCTAACCAGGAGACTAGGTCACATAGGTTCTGTTAGGCTCCCTGGTTGGGGACTTCAGGATGATGGTCACTGATGGTTAGAGACACTGAGTGATATAGCTCGATGTCGCAAACAGTGGCGCTCGTGCATCCACTCATTATTCCCCTATCGCTATTCTATGTGAATTCTCTACCTTCCGCTTGAATTTGCTTTCAACATTCCAATCTTAATTCTGGTCTTTTATCCGAATAGGGTACCAAAAGACAGCAACCCAAACCGGCGCACGAAAGTATATGGTTAATGGTTGAAAGAACTTAACTTAACTGAACCCACTACCTGTATCGGCAAACATCGCTCGCCGTAGCAACCTGTTTGGTCACATGCGCAACACGCCCCAACCAACGTAGTCTATGGAGGTCGATTACTTGCTCCAGTGGGCGACCGCGGTTACCTAATATCATCATTGCTCGTTCGGTTACCTCACTAGATTCGTGCAACGCTGCACAGACAGCGTTGTTTGAACACCGACAGTCTATCCTGTTTTCTTAATGGCTCCATATGACAGAATTGGCCGAACTGCTGCAGCATACACTCGACCCTTAATGGATGGCCGGATGTCGCTAAAGATGTCTCAAGTTGGCAAATGAGAGCTGCCGCTTCATCCGTGATGCCTCCACCGGATGAGATATAGCTGGCCAAATAACAAAATTTATCGTGACTGTGCCACTGTCATGTCAGGCAGCTCCCTAAGTAGGAGAACCAATCAACTATAGATAAATCATGACCACGAAGCATCAGACCACTTTTCCTCTGCTAGTAGTGTTATATTCCGAAAAGGCGGTGCTGGTCGAGGAGAGTTCCTTATTGCAGAATACAGATGGAGGGTCACTAATTTTGGATGCATAACACGAAAAGCTCATCAGAAACATGCCTTCGCCGCACATCGCGACACATGGGGCAATGGGTATAGCAGGCAGTGTTTATTCTTCCCAACTATATTACTTGGTCCTGGATGGTCTTGTTCTATTTTTAATCATTGAAAGTTACCGACTACTCACAAGTGAGTAGTATCTCACAACAGTAGTAGTAGTAGCTGGTTACTTAACAGTGTCAGTATGGAGGTAAACTGTTGGCAGTCTTGTGTCAAGGCTTATTACTTTGAAAGTGGGGTCGTTCTGATAATCCAGACAGATATGTCTAGCTTCTGTAGGATATCTTCAGTGCCTTGAGAGGAGTAGTAGATTATAGCAATATTGTTCGTATATTCGAAATTACTACATCGAGCAACAGTGAAGCGTTCTGTATTAGAACTATGATGGTTCTGGAAAGCAGAGCTGCATGTTATGGAGCGTATCCCTAGGTCGCGGACAGGAGAACGACCGTCAACTGGCGGCTAACCGTGAATAAGGTGAGCACTCCCCTTGAATCCGACGACGCATAAGTACGCACCAAGCTATCCATGTGTCTCGGTGGGCGTTCCAAACGCACGATACAACGACGGTTAGACTGTGATAAGCTGTCCAAACCAGCTTGTCTAACTGTCTTCCAAAACGCGCTAGCTGAAAAGCTGGAATCAACCCCAACACATAACATCAAGCAGTTTTAGTTACATATCAAGAATACTCTGCATTCCGCTGTGGTCTGACACATCGTACGGTGACACCCTGAATTCATGCGGAGTCTGTACGCCTTCTTGGAGCACGTCGGTCAATTCCGACTGATAGCAAGCATAATGAAACAAGACTCGTAGCGAGAAGTGAACTTAACGCAAGCCTACACAGAGATCGCGAGATCTGGTGGATTCAACGTGTATCAGGAAAGGGATCTGTTGCCGCCATGGGAAATCCGCATAAGCTGTTCCATCTCAACCGAGTCACCGGTAGGAAAGCCTTAGGTGTGAGCGAAACGATCTGCGAAGCTGACGGTTCGCCCACTCATAATCAACAGCGACGCCTTGAACGCTGGGCACAGTACTTCAAAGCGCAGTTTAGCTGGTCACTAGCGTGAGTTTCTCACACCTATTATGGCAAATGTCCCACAGATATCCTAGCCCAAGAACGTCACAAAGCGCCGGGCTCCGATGGCCTTCCCTGAGCTCTATTTTAAAGCTTATTAGAAAATCAGTTCTCTAAAGTCTGGCACACTCCTTGTGAGGTAACTGATTGTCGTCACCATCTCTAAAAAGGGACCGCGTAATGATTGCACCAATCATAGAGGTATAAGCGTTATCTCACCAATGGTACACTGTGCGTGAAGAGCTGACCGGCGAGGATCAGGCGGTTTCACGCTAGTCATGGATGCATCGATCAAATCTTCACCCTCGGACAGCTGCTAGAGCACTGCCATGCCTATTTTTATTACACATCAGTATGTGATGAACAGCAGACAGGGCGTACTCCATGATCACGAAGATCTGCTATTTAGTGATGGTAACCGGCAACCTAAGCCCCGGGACTTGGAGTGGCGAAACTCATGAGGACCCGCTAAGTCAGACGCGGTATAGAACTGGGCGACAGCAAAGCTGCCTATCCAAGAACAAAAATCACCGTCTTTAGACATCAGCGTGGCCTTGGACTCTGTCGAAGAATGAAGTACCAGAGCATTGTGTGTTAATCCTTAAGCAGTTGTATCGTCAAGTCGGGTTAAGGCTTGTGGCCAGCTTTTGCCACTCTTCGTAGTCTCCAGTGGAGTTTGACAAGGCTGCCCTATATCTTCATTCCTTTTCAAATTTGTCATAGATGATATTTCATAGAATGCTTTATCTGGTCTAGCAAACGGTGGAGTCGAATTCCTCCTAATTAATGGAGTTCTTGACTTATGCTGATGATAACGCCTTGTTGTTGTGACAATACACCGGCAGTCCAACACGCTTTGTACTGCTTGGCGATAGAGTTAACCAGGTAAAGTACGTGCTTTGCACCATCCCAGTGTAAAGTGCAGGAATCTGTGCCTGCACTCACCCTCTGTTGCGACCAGCTGGAAGTAGTTTGGAGTTCTAAGTACCTCGGTAGCTTGATCGCAGTTGATGGTGGTATATATATATATATATATATATATATATATAATGATGTTCAGTTGTTCGCCGAGCTTGGCAATTGTATTGCAAACGTTTCATCACCAATCGAGGTGACATTCTCAATGCAGTAACTGGGTGAGCGCTTA